TCAAATCTTGATAGCCAACCAATCAGGATACCATTTTTCCACCAATAATTCTCGACCTTAAGACTAAACCCATAAAAAATTGGACCAGCGTTAGCATGCAAAGTATTCGCCAAGATGTGCAAAATTTTAAGTATATAGCTATAGTGCGTTTTATGGAAAACCAAGGAGAAAAGTTGAAAACTAATCTGGCAAAGTCTAACTCAATTTAGTGGCGCCAAAGCTTTGTACTCAGATGGTTTCATTGTGGCATGATTTCCATATTAGGGAGAGAGAAGACCTATAATTTCAGCAAGCGTTCTGAACGATTTAGTGGACGATTCCAAGATTTTTTGTGGCTACTCTCCACATACACAATATTGATTTTGTTCACGTTGACTATTTTGCTGGGAAGACGTCCGCTTACAATGGCACATCAAGGTGAGACGTAGTCTAAAAAAGGGGCAAGTTTTATCTGTTCCCAAACTGGCGGAAGAAATTTACTGTGATGAAAAAAAATATATATTTCTTCGGAGCCTAAACTCAAATATACCCTCACGCAAGAAAGTTTTTTATACTATCTATTTATTTATTTATCTTTTTCATACATAATCATTTATGATGTGTATAATCATTTATGATGTGTATATCCACTATATTTTATACTGGATCATTGTGGTTTTTTTATAGATCTCTTTTTGTAGATCTCAGAATTCAATTCGAGAAAGTTAGTATAATCGAGACTGCTCAATGATGATTTCATCTTTTTAAGGAACTATTTTAAAAGCATTTTAACAACCAAACTAACACGACTTGCTAATGAGGACCGACCGGCAGCTATATAAACAATTTTTTTTATGTGATTGACAGATGTTTATTTTCATTCGTTGAATGAAGAAAAAACTCTCGCCATGTTAAAAAAGACGCGAATATAACTTACCTCACTTTCGAAGAAACCAAGGAACAAGATTTTTTTCAAGCTTTCAATTAAAAGCTCACTCTCACTGTAAATTGTATAAACTTTCGAGGCGAAACGTATTTCCAGATGCAAGTGAATTGTTTCTCTTTGGGTAAAACATCTTCATGCGCTCTCCGGCAGCCCTTGTTGTAATACTATTAAGCATAATTTACGTAAGAAAACAGGAAATATTTTTATTTCATCTGGTTATTTAGGGTAATCTTCGCTGTGAAGACAGACGTTTTGCAGTGTTATATGTTTTGAAGCACAAAATTCTTAAATAAATAAATAAATGAATGAATAAAAGCATAAAAATGTACGACATTACAAAGCAAGTGAAACGGTGTTTTAAGTTTCTTTCCGAAAAGAACAAAAGCTGCCTCCTCCTCTATCCACCCATTCACTTTTGTGAATTAGACCCAAATTTATTAATACAACCCCTAAGGAAAAATTTGAAATCCCCATGGGCAATCGAAAATGAATTTTTCACAATTTGGTACGGAAATTGTCTGTAATCGGGATGGGACTGATTGTAAATTAGTCTCCGAACAGCAACCACAACATCTTATTTTAATAGCATCTGTTATGGAATAACAGCTCCGAGCCCTAATTCCCTGAGGTGGTGATATTTCAGGTTCGCAGTACTGTTAGTTCGTTACAGCTGGAATCATGCGAAGCAAATGTGTTGCAACGGGCTCAACACCCAAATGGTTTAATAGATTGAGCGTAAAGTACTTTTCATGCGAATGGACATCAAGGCAAAGAAAAGTAATATGCCGACCCTCAATTAGTAACATCAACTACCATTAACCGTTTGGAAAAATGCCTGGCGGCTAATCACATCAAAAGACAATTAAATATTAATATTTTTTCGTATGGGCTTACGTTCAGTTTAATTTGTCACGACATGAGGTTTTATTGAAAAAAAAGGGAAAAAAAGCCATAACTGGCGCATAAAAAGGTTACTACTTTACAAAGCTACCATCAGAGGCGCTGCTTAACGAAAATGCTCACCACAGTTAGTGCTTACTTTATATCGAGAAACATCGCGACTCCCTTTAAGACCCTCACGATACCAGTAATTATCATATGTCATTAATATTCAAAAAGGTGAATTTAACACGCAGTTCATATAATACGCGGTTTAACTGCATTCGCAAATGACCATGACAGATGTCAGAGGATTTTACTCCGCAGTATACATTTGACCTCGATTTCTTAGAAAAGGAAACATAATTCGACTGGGAGTTTGGACGTTTTCAATGTAAGGCGATTGCACGAAATATGTCGTACCTTCTTTTAAGAAGCTTAGGTTTGTTAACAATAACCTTTATATTTAGAGGGCCGCTACGTACACCAGCCGTTCAAGGTAAGATTTTCATGGTACGAGTTGAATTTTTGTACATCATCAGGATATACATGCACATTTGCAAAATATGCGGATCGATTGGCAATATCGAGTCAGAACTAGAAAGGCTTTTTCAAATTAAAAAGTGTTATGGTTTCAGGATCAATCTACGTCTTTGTCATGTCGGGTGGAGAACATTGAACAACATTGCACAACATTGAACAACATTGCACCACATTGCACCATATTGAAATCCAGGAAACACGATATACCGTTTCTTCCTCATTTAACACAATTTTCTTCTTTTAATATTTTAAATATGCACGCCACCCTTCGATAACCAACCATTTGCTGTGTTGCGATCGACTAGTCGTCATTTGCACATTTTTATTTGTTCTTTTCTTTCCTTTTTTTTTGATACATGGAGATTAAAAATATTTTTAGCCAAGTTGTCAAAGGAAAGAGAGATGATTCTAATCGGTAGGATTTCAAGAAATTGAAATGTCACGCTACGTTTTTTATTTTCACAAAACGCGTGCAGTGTAATTAATGTTAATAGAAATAGTAATCAAAGCTTAATGTCTTTACGTGGGGTATGGTTATCCATATTGCCCGAGCCAGAGGCTCATGTGTGAAACGCAAGACAACAACCCACCCATCCCACCCCAAGGGAGGACATCCACCAAACAGTAATCTCGTACGTGGGAAATTAACGTCTCCTACCCCTAACCCTGCAGGAAACGGAACCTCCATTTATTCGTCCCTATCCGAGAAGACTAGAATATCTAAACCATTTCTTGATGTTATAGAAAGGCAGCATATTCTTCTCAATTATTTTAAGACCTTGAGTGTTAGTGCGGCCGGGGCTCGAACCCTCGACCTCTCGCACATCAGTCCAGCGCTTTACCCATTGAGCTAACCGGGAGGCGGTTAGCTATTAATGCACTTGATGAAATAGCTATTAGTGCACTTGTTTAATTTGCTATTAATGCACTTGTTTAAATAGCAAACTTGTGTAAATGTAAAAAAGAGTGCCCATTTTAAGCATTCGCGATATTTCGTATTATCATTAAGAAATAAACTTAAATTGTTGCAACCATTTTATAATCACTCTACGTTCAAATCAATTCTACGTAACAATAATTATAACTTGAAAATTTTTGCTGCATAAAAAGGATTCTTGGTGAAATTATGTAAAGAAAAGATACGCGCACGCCCTTTGTCAGGTGCATAGTTACTGCCGATGGGAGCTTTTCTTGTTTTACATAACTATTAACTCATTAGGTACACGAGAGCTGACAGCTTGACCATATTTAGTTGAAAAACCTTCTGCCGAAGTTTTCGGCTATCGACCAAAAGAGAAAAACATTGGCCGTTCTCATAGAATCATACTTTTTTGTTACGCTCTGACGGCATATTATGTGAGTTTAGTCGAGAAATAATTAGTGTGCGTCTTGACAATACACTCATTACTTAATTGTGCATTAGCAGACTAACCCAGGACATTCCTTGACATTTCCCACGACTGAACGACTTTACTCAACACGTAACACTATAAATGCAGCCAATGCTTTGAGTTCCAAATGTTTCCGGCATGGTGGTCAATCTTTTTTTTTAAAAATTGTATCGTTAAATGATTGTTCTGTCATGTTTCGGTTTAGCTTTAGACTGTCCTCCTGGCTGGAGAGCGTTTGACAGCTCATGCTACAAGATCATGACCAACTTTCTTATCTCAACGAAACTTAGCTGGGGTGATGCTCGTTCAGTGTGTTTAGGGTTCGGCGGAGACCTTGTCAGTATAGTAAACAAAAAGGAGATGGATTTTGTCGATGAGATATCGTCAGGTATCGGAAGTGAACTAATTTGGATCGGTTTGAATGACTCGCTCGGTGATGGTGAATTTGCTTGGAGTGATGGTGCTCCATTCAATGGGTCAGTTTACAATAACTGGGGAAGGAGACAACCGACTGGAGGAGAATATTGTGTTGCCCACAGCATAAGTGAAAGACGATGGCATGACTATCCGTGCTCCTATACTTTTGATTACCTCTGGCTCTNTTTGTAAGACTTTGTCGTTTATGTAGTGATGACTCTGATTTCCACCACAAACCAGAGTCAATGTGCCATTTTTTCGATAAACGTGGTTACCCCGATTCTGTCGTTCAAGCGGGCTACTACCGCGCCCAACTTATTGATCGACATTCAGCACTACAAACGTCATAAAAGGAAGACTCCAACCGCATTCCATTCACTCTTCTCAGTTTCTAAGACTTCGTCGTTTATGTAGTGATGACTCTGATTTCCACCACAAATCAGAGTCAGTGTGCCAGTTTTTCGATAAACGTGGTTGCCCTGATTCTGTTGTTCAAGCGGGTTGCCACCGCGCCCAACTTATTGATCGACATTCAGCACTACAAACGTCATAATAGGAAGATTCCGACCGCATTCCATTCTCTCTCACGTTTCACCCTCACAACCACTCAGTTTAATCCATCATTCTTAAAAACTTTAAATTACTTCAAAACGATCCAGAGACAAGCTTTATCTTTTCGCAGCCTCCGCTCATTTCATTCAAACGCGACAAAAACATGGGCAGTTTTTTGGTCAGAAGTTCTTTTCAGACTAATGGCCAACCAGGCACTTTTAAATTCGCTCGTGCACGATGCAAAACGTGTCCTTGCATTCACAATACTGAGAAAATATCGGGACCCAAACGATCCATTAAGATAACCGATAACTTCACGTGCACCTCCGCCAATGTAATCTTTTGCATAACCTGCACTTTTTGCAAAAAGATTTACATCGGCGAAACAGGCACAAGACTAGGTGACCGATTCGGAGAACACCTTCGCGACGTGGAGAGGAATGACAAGGACACATCGAAACCGGTCGCTAGACATTCTAATTTATCTAACCATTCTAAGCAACACATGGCAATCTGCAGTCTTTCCTTACACTTATGTAGCACGGAAAGTCGGAAAACTCTTGAACAAAAGCTCATCTTTCAAACCAGCAGTCCAATTCCCACAGGTATCAACGCACGCTTTTCATTCCACTAATTTATTCGTGTTTTTCTCGTTGCCATGTTCCCACCAATCACGTAGCTCCTTTTTCTACCTTTAAAAGCACACACAACCCACAATTCCCCTATTCGCTCCGACGAAGGGCTAACGCTCGAAACGTCAGCTTTTTTAATCGTTACGGTGGCCAATTTACCATTTCAACTTTGTTGATATATTCAAATTATCTCGTTACCCCCACCGACGCAGCCCCAAACAGTTTCTTTACAAACTATCAGCCTTTACACAATTCCTCTATTCGCTCCGACGAAGGGCTAACGCTCGAAACGTCAGCTTTTGTAATCGTTACGGAGGCCAATTTACCATTTCAGTTACATACGTACATTTATTTGGTAAAGCAGGTTAAGTTAATACAATCGTAGCAAAAAGCTGATGTGGACCTGCCATTTCAACTTTGTTGATATATCCAATACAGAGATAGACGGTTGCCATCAATGATAGGAAGTTATTCCTCTGCTTACAAACACTTCCTTGCTCTAAGTTGCCACACATGTAAAATAATACTTTGCACTTTCTAATGAAAAATTGAGGTATACCTCCACTTAACCCATTCTTCTCCAAGATCTCATTAGCCACTTTCCTTACTGCATGAAGTAAGATTATTATGGTATTTGTTTAAAAAAGTCTGCATTTGTTCAACTAAAAATTTCTTTGTTTATATTTTTCTTAACAATAAACCAGATTAGGAAACAGAGTTTTATTGTTGTAATAAGTTATTGCGATCCTTTCATCTTGTGAATATTGGTGTCAATTAAAGATTTAAATAGAGAACTGTAGCTGCAGACTACAAACCTGTATTTTGTCAACTCGATCTTGCTTCCTCTACAGGAAAACTTCCCTGTCCTTCTTCTTGGTATTTTAATGGCTTTTCATGTTACAAAGGAAGTGAATCTGTTTCGTCCTGGAAAGTTGCAAAAGAAAAATGTCGTGAATCTGGTGGATACATGATAAAAATAGACGATGCATCCGAGAAGAATTTTTTAAACGTGTTCCTCCGCATCACAGGACTTACAACATCAAACGAGGTAATATTGGTACAACTACCGATAATAACCCTGAAGGTTATCAATGAATAGTTGAAGCGGCTGATAGATATCTTTAAATTAAAATTCAAGCCAGCACTTGATCTTAGTCACCCACCCAGCCGAAGCTTACCCCATTTTCCCCAACGTGGAGGGACTAGGGGCTAGAAGTAACATCACTCCTCCCCCCCCCCCAAATGGATGGGAAGCCAGTTCCTCTTTAGGTTACCCCCAAGCATTTCATCAGGCCTCCATGAGAAATCGATGGTAGCAGTTCTACGCCAGGCAAGAATAAATAAATAAGAATCTTTCAAGCTGCTATGTATTGCTTAATCTTCTAATTTAAATTGGATCGCTTGGATGAGATAAAATATTTCTAACATTTTGATGAGATAAAATATTTCTAAACATTTTGTACCGAGCATGGGGTCCTGTCAAACCCAAATGGATAGCGCAAGCTAAAGAAGAATTTTTCTTCTCTAGTACGTATGGATTGGCCTCAGCGACATCCAACACGAAGGGAAATTTGTATGGCAAGTAGATAACAGTACCGTCAACTTCACCAGTTGGGCACCGAGGCAGCCCGACAACAGGGACGATATGGAAGATTGCGTGGTCGTGGGTGCTGAAAAATATTTTGGATTTTGGAAAGACCAGGTGTGCGATCGGTGGTTTCTGTACATCTGTGAACAGCCGGCTAACGGTACGTGCAAAATGATTTTCGAGAATATTGCGAAAGCCTTCCCGACTAGATTCCAAAGGGTCCGTAATCGTACATGTGATCTTTCGATCACAGGTGCATCATAAAGTCCTCTTGTCATACAAACCAGCTTGCCGCTGAAATGGGCCAGCCACAAACAAATAAATCAAACAATTATTAAGAAAATAATTTTCCCTAAAAACATCATATTGGAGTTTTTTTCCTTGAAAACAACGACTCCAATAATCAAGCCAACAGCAGCCGTTAATGTCGCGTACTGTCCAATTACACAGGCACAACGTGTAAACCAATCAAATGATAATTTGTTTTGCCAGGTATTGCATGTTTTCAGTGCTCAAGTGGGACTTCTTTTGCCGACTGTGAAACACAACAGGTTGTAGTCAACTGTTCATTTCCACAAAATTATTGCTCAAAAGAGAAGAATTCAACTCAAGATAACGATGAACAAGCTGCTGTTTTCTACAAAGGTTGTACATCAGCAGATCGGTGTACACAAGAAATGAAGGACACTGTTGAATGCTGTGAAAACAACCTTTGCAACAAAGGTAAACGTAACTCATGTTTCTCCTTAGTGCAAAGCTGGATACCAAACGTTCCTGAAATAATTAGAGGACCAAAGAGGTTGATTTTAATAGTTCAATGTGATGGCAAATTTCGAAATCGAGGCCAACCTTTCTACCTTTCAATATCTGGTTTCATCGTCCTTCTGGTAACAGCGCGTAAGTTAGAGGCGTGGCGTGGGTTCAATCCTTAGGAGGTCTGATATTTTTCAAGATTCTCTTTTTTTCGCAATGGTTGAAATGAACTACAATTCATCGGTGCAGACTGTTGTACCAGTTCGTCACTTAGCAAAATGTCTGCTACTACCTTGCAGAAAGAAATCATGTGGCTATATAAATATAATATTTTTTTATTCAGATATCACCTGTTATCATTGCACAAGCAATGCATCATTTGCTGACTGTGCCAGGAAACAAACAGAAGTGACCTGTACGTTACCGAGGAACCGCTGTGTTAAAGTCGGGTATTCCAGCAGTGGTAACTACCAAACATTTTATAAAGGATGCACCACAACTAAAGACTGCGAAGCCACGTCTGATAAATCATTTGTGGAATGCTGTGACGATAACTTGTGTAATAAAGGTAATTTGAACTTAAGATTTTTTCCCTCTAGGCATCCCTCGGGCATCTAAATGAAGCAAATTTTTTCATTATAGAATCGGAGTTGAGTTGTTTCAAATGCAGCAGCACGGTTTCTCACGACGAATGCCAAAAGAGACGCCAAGAACACGTTTGTAGGAGTTCAAAGGATGATCGCTGTTACTATGCCTCGATGCAGCAGACTTCACAGGATGGATCCAGCGTCACTAAGCACTTTGAGTATGGATGCACCAATAACTTACACTGTAACAACACTGGAAAATTTCTCGCTGGTTGCGACGAATCAAGTAATGCTTGTCAGGTGCGATGTTGTGGCAAGAATCTTTGCAACGAAGGTAAACGTGAAAAAAAAAAAAGCTTCCGGCTTGTTTAGCTACCGTTTGAACTTCGAGGGTCGTCAACACATAGTTTAGAAGAAGATTTTAAAG